CCCCCCCCCAACCTGCCAGGGTTGTGCGTAACACCCCTCTTGCCTCATCCTCTGCTCCCCCACAAGCTGCCCTGGCAGAAACCCTGGGGAGGTTGTTGCAAACCCCATATTGTGGCTGGGGTCTTTGGGAGGCCCAGTGCCTCAGTGAGGCTGGGGTGCACGCAGCCCTCACTGCACCTCAAAACCCCCAAACCGCATGTATAAATAGCATGTTTTTTCCTTCAGTTTGCAGTTTTCACAGGGTGTGTGTGCTCTTCGAGCTCCTGCTGTCCTCACCATGTCCTTTGTTACAAGTGGTTCTTAATAACCAGGTAATTAAATGAATGAAGAAACAACTACGGGGCGTGGTTTGCAGTCCTAGCAGAATACATTAATATCTAGTTATCTAGCTTTACCTCCTCTGTTCCTTGCGATTGTCTAGAGGCGAGTCTGTCTGAGACTTGGACCATAGGGACTGAGTATTCTCGTGTAATCTGGCTAATACAGAGACTAAAGCTGGGCAGCTGCATTGCAGCTACCTCTGACCCACATTAGCCACTGGTTGATTAAAAAGCCCACTATTTATGTAGTAGAGATTTATCAGAAGTAAGCTAGGAATATACTGAGCACAGACTTCATTGGATGCTCAAAAAGGCAATGATAATTTGTCTCTGAGTCAGAAGGGCAAATACATTACAAAACAAACTCTTCAAAGTTTTCTTGAGGAAGGAATAAATGTAGGCGCGGGTTGGGGGACATTTATTAAGAGAGATACCACAAAAATGCTTAGTTGCTTCCTAAAGAAAGGGGAAAGACTTAGTAATACACATAAATTAATCTGTATGCCTGTCACTAATTGCATAAGGTACTTAAGTATTTCTGGCACAAAGATACATTTGCTTAAAACCAGTCATCTACTAAAGGTAGAGCAGGGTTGGTTTAATCATGTTTCCTACTATCTTCTAGTCATCTGAAACAGAACATTACCTGTTTTGTGGTATCATTTCCATAGGTTTCAGGGTACTTGAATATGAGGGATATTAAGCTGTGAAGGGCAATGGCCTATCAGAGGTACCGAGCTGCAGTCTCTTTTCATCTGAGCTCATGCTAGATGGAATGAACTGTACTAAGAGCTAGTGAAGGTGTATGCATCACTATATCGCAGTAGAGCTGATGAGAGGTTTTATTTTGCAAATCTAAAGTGCCCCCATGAAGATCAATGGAATTGCTCTCGATTTACAAGCACTGCAAGTGAGGCTTCTGCTCAAAATGTTATTCAAAATTTGTGATTTAAATTTCAGTAGCAATTGTATTAATGCATGTTAGAGCAGCTATCCATTATTCAGACACTGAATATGCAAAGTACAGTAGCACAGGTATAGTTTTATGTGCTAATACATTTTAGTTTTAACAGAGATTGGTTTTGACTTCTGCCCAAAAGAGGTAGTTTGTGTAGCTTGCAGAGCACCCAGGGAAGAAATGAGCAATATAGACGTTATAGCAGATGGAAAGATTCACAGTGGGCTTGGTCAGAGATTCAGTGAACTTCTAAATGCAAATTGTTCTGGGATATTCAATTAATGCAAACTGGCATACCTTATTTCATGCCAATGGGTTTATGCTAATCTCCTCTACATTCAATTGAGTGTAAGATTTAATTATTAATGGTATCATTTATTATGCCATGTATTAATAAATGAATATACCTCAGCTTCTAAAAATAACTCCATATCTGAGGAAAATAAGCTTTGTAACTGTAGGCTGTTAATATTCTTTCTCATATTTTTTTAGAGATGGAAAATGAGTGGAAAACCCCTTCCTCTCTGCCAGCAGCGTGTGCCAGGAAGATGGGAAAGTGTGTCTGCAGACAGCCCTGCAGTGTTGAGTTTCAGTGTGACTCAGAGGTAAGGATGAAGCTTTGTTAAAAGAAAGCTACTGCTGAAGGCATCCTACTTTGGAAACTTGTATTTCCAGGTACAGGGTAGTGCTATTCCTATTTTCCCTATTTTCTTTGTCTCCCTTGTGTTGCTTTTTGCCATAATGCAGAGTATAATCTAGCCCCTTGATATATTATTGTTAGAAAAATCATTGAAGTAGTAGTGAACAGAGGAACAGGATAAAGACTGGCTTCCAACTAGAATGAAATGGTCTGTGCCATTTGTCTCATCTTTGTTTTAAGACCACGTTGCAAAAAGCAGGCAGGCAGTCGCCAGAGATAAGCTGAGTCACCCAGCAGCTTAGCATTATGTCCCTTTCCATCTCCTGAAGCTAAAGCTGCTCTCGTGCTGTTTTAGTTAGGTGTGAGTCTCATGATTTCGTCTAACAAACTTTCGGTACAAGAATCCCAAGGCCAGGTTCACCCCTTGAAGACCTCCCCTAGGTTGGTTACCTAAATAATGCAAATTATCATGATGAGTGATGCAGAAGTAACAGTAATGACATGATAAAATGGCAGCTATGCAGTCACATACTACTGCTGCATAAGCAAAAGCAAGCAACTCCATGACAATACATTCCTGTTTGTACATTTTCCTCTGCTACATACTATGTAATTAACATGTACTCAGTCTAGGAATGGCATTTCCTCAAGGAAGAATTTAGGCCTAAGCCCTGTGCTAGGGCCTCACTGAGCACCAAGAAGTTACTAGAATGCAACCAGAGTCAGTGGAAACTCCCCTACGCTGTGAAACACTTGGGCATTGAAGCCTAGTGGGGTTTGCCTTTTTTTTTTTTTTTTTTTTTTTTAATCACAGAATGGTCTCCCCAGCAGAAAGTATAACAGGTATGTTTGGGGTTGAGGTGGATGGCAGAATGAAGTCTTCATTGTCTGCTCCTGGTCTTATTTCAGAAGCATAAAAAGAGCTGTACCTGCTTAGTTTGAACTTGCACAGAAATTGAGCAGTTGTAAGTCAGAAAAGCAAAAGCATTGTTTGTACTTGTTTGGGTTGTTTTTATTGTTTCTACTCTATAAAGGCACAGCTCTGAGAGAGTGGGGAATCAGGCACTCCCACTATTGAAAATGTGACATAGCTCTGATGTGTTGTCCATCATATTTTTTATACAATACGTAAGATGGTAAGAGCTGATCTATGCATGGTACCTATACTCACAAAACAGGCAGCTGAGAGATGCTGTACATAGTAAAGTATGATTAAGCAATTTCCTTTCCCAGTGTTCTGTAATTGTTAATAAATTTACTGCAAATTCAAAAATCAACATATTGGCATTTAGTGGCACCGTGTTTTATGGATTGATTGATTTTTTTATTGATAAGATTGATCAGAACAGATCTGAAGGAGAAAGGGGAGAGCTGGAACAGGTCCATGGTAGCAGTTAATGCTTTGTGCCAGTATTTAGTGCTATGGGAATGCAGTAAAGCATGCCTACGGCCGAGCTGTCCCTATAGGTCTGTTTATTGATCTTACCACAGAGAGGTGTGTTGCAAAAACTGAAAAAGAGAATTCTCACTGAAGCCCCTGGGAGCTACATCTGAGAAAAGTCTCGTTCACGATTTTGAAGTTGCCCCACAATGCTTTCTGTGTTTGTAGCTACTTCTTTCTTGAAAACTTCTAGGAGGGGGGAAACCCTGAAGAACTTTCTTTGGGTTTATTCTCATGTGTGCTGGAATTTCTACATCTGTCTGGGCTGGTTTTAAGTTTTGACCCTATGCTGAACACACGTGAAAGTTGCTGTTGTATGTCACTAATACTCTACCTATCAGGAGAATATTTTGAAAGTCGTAAGCAGGAGTAATGGGTCCCTTTTTCTTTCCCTTGTCCTGAAGTTAGGAACCCAGATCTTATGTATACATCTAAAATTAAATAAAAATATCTGAATGAGTTAAATTGAAATGTGCAAATGAAAATACCCTGTTCTACTTAAATTCTTTTAATACTGCTGTATTTTCCTTTTATGAATCGGAATGAATCTTACATTTTAGGAAGTCTGCTTCCTGTATTCTAAACAGCCCTTTTAATATGAGATAACACTAACATGAATTGACAAAGCCCATGTGGAATTTTGTCTGCAAGGACTGAAATACGGTTTCTGGAAGACACAGAAGAAATGCTAATAAGTATTTAATTTATTTCTTTTTGAACAGCTATTTGCTTTGTTTGTGCCATATATAGAAAGTGCCTGAGCAGCTCTCATTATTTTATTATTGCTTACACCAATTCTGTTTTGCTGCGCACAGTAACATTAATTTTCTCACTTTGAGTTTGTTCTGTCTCTTGATTACAAGAGCTAGAGGAAACAGCCAGCCACTTCTTTCATCTGAGCTCTGTCAATGAATGCTTAATTAGAAGATTCATTAGCTTTGTTTACTCTTTGGATCAGGACTCCAAACTAGGCCACAAAATCTGATGGCAGATTCCTCCT